TCATTAAGCAATAATATTACAATTAATCTCTAAATCTAATCTCTCTCTCCCTAAATCCAAAATTCTTCCTCTCTTCTTCCTCTGACCGTCGGCCTCACCATCCCCTTGGAGACCAATTTCTACCTTCTTCCCCAAATCTTTTCTTCTTTCCCTCACCAAATCCCTAATTCTATTTTCAATTCTCAATCATCTCTCAATTTCCAATCTACATATAGTAGACGTACACATACGCCTAGATAGTTCTTACATCCCTAAACACTAAACAGGAGACTAATTACTTGAATGGGCCATTTTCTTTTGTCTTTGAGAAGAAAAGAGTTAACTAATCTAAACAAAGTGCTTATTACGAAAGGTTCTTTTTGGTTCTAAAATCACATTCACTCCTCCTATATGCAGTTTTTGTCTCTTTGTCATTTGGTTTTCGAATGGTATCAAATTCGATTACTCGTATGACTATTCTTCTATTAATTAAAATATAAAAGCCTATTTTGTCATGTTTTTGTAAATACTATAAACTTGTAATTTTTGTGCAAAAGTTTCAAATTCGAAATATATAAAAAACGAATATCATTTTTGGAGAATCAATGACTACATTCCTTTAGTGCAAAATTTCAAAATCAAAATGAAATAAATATAAGTTAATAAAAAATATAGAAATTAAAAATTCTTTTATTTTCAAGCATATGGTCCCACTAAAAATTAAGCCACTCAATGATTGTAATCGAGCTCCTAATCCGCAACTCCATCTCTATTTGGAACTCGGTTATCGGTAAATATCAAGATCGGTTGTAGGGGTGGAAGAGCATATACCTGTCCTTGGGTGCTTGACTAGTTTTGAATCAATCCATACTCAACAGTCTGTCTGTTTACCATTTCTCTTTGTTAAAAGTGCCTAAAACAGTTCTCAACACTCTCGAGAAGATTAAAGAAGGTTCCTTTGGTGTGGATGGAACGTGGACATCAAGTTTCATCTTATTAGGTGGGATCTTTGCAAAGCGTTGAAACAAAAGGGTGGATTGGGAGTGGTTGATCTCGAAAGCTTCAACGATGCTTTGATTGGTAAGTGGTTGTGGAAATATGCCACCGAAAGAGAAAGTTGGTGGAGGCAGCTTATCAGTGTGAAATACTCTAGTCCTGTTTCGGAATGGAAAACAAGGAATATTGATGAAGGGTTTAACAGTTCTGTTTGGGCTAACATATGCAAGGTGGGCGACTTGTTTTGAAAAGGGGCATATCTGGAGCCTGGTCCGGTTACTGATGTCTCTCTTTGGCATGACGTTTGGATCCCTCGAGTATTGTTGGCCAACTCTTTTCCGCGTGTTGTTGCTGATGCTCTTCCGAATGCAAGTCTGCTTGACTCTGTGTCCTAGTCAGGTGAGGAAATTGTGTGGGAAATTCTATTTTCTTTCTCTTTTAGGGGTGGGGCTGAAATTGAGAGAGTGGGTTGTATGGATAAAATCATGGCCAATTCTTACAGAATCACTAATAGTCCTAGTCGCATGGTTTGGAACCCAAACGCATATTGCTTGTTTTCTGTTAGTTCTTTCTACAGGTTTCAAGTGGAAGACAAGTTTATTGGGGCTGAGGATTTCAAGCACAGATCTGTTTGGAAAAGTGTGATTCCAACAAAAGTTTGCGGGTTCCTCTGGCTTGTGTGGCACAAGAAGATACTCACACTCGACAACTTGAAGAAACGCGACATTGAGCTGGCCAATAGGAAAATCGACAAGTTTTAGGGGATGCTCTTCTTACAGGAATGCCTTGCACGTAGGGGGCTCTCCTGCTAGGTGATCCTACTCTTGGACTCGATTTCTGTCTTCATCTGTTTCTCCTTGTATTTTCCTCTCGCTTCTTCACTTTACTCTCGTCTGAGAGTCTGCTCTTGCTCTTGCTGTTTCATTATGCTCTCCTCTTCCCACTCCTTGTGAGTTTTCTGTACCTTAACTTTCTTCTGGTTTGGTTCATTTAATTAAAGTTCATCATCATTATGAAAATATATGTATGGGGAGTTCTACGATACCCTGTGTGAAATTCAGGGTACCGCATACCTTGAGTAAGAAAACACTATCCAGAACATGAATTGACTGATCTTTCGGATATGATACAATACTCTAAGCCTTAAAGATCAAAATCTATGTCTTAATTCTCTAAATCTTATACCCCAAGATCAATTTAATTAGAAACAATAATCGACGGTTATGATTTGTCCAAATATAGGCAAAAAAATCAATGCACCATCTTAGGGTTTATAGTTTATGATTTAGATACTTAGGACCTAGGGTTCACTCATTAAGGGTTAGGGTATAGTATCATGCCCAAAAATCCTGCTAATTCGATGTCTAGATAGTGTTTTCATACTCAATGTATGCAGTATCCCGGATTTCACTCGAGATACCGTAGAAGGCACCATGTATATATTAACTTAACTCCACCTTTTGTTTCTCATTATTCAAAATAATGAAATATACATGTCAAGCGAGGATCACGACATTGAAAAAAAAAATTTCTTGATCATTACTAGTAAAGAAGTGCAACATTATGTTTATTTTTGGGTAAATACAATATATTAGCCATAACTATTAAGCAACGGGAAATTATAGCCATAACTATCGAAATACAAATTATTAGCCATAACTATTGTTGCGGGTCAAGATTTGGCTAACAGCTCGTTACTGTTTTCAAATTTTTAACGGAGAAAGCCATGTCATCATCGTAAAAAATATGATATGATGACTGCCACGTGGGAGCCAACTCAGCATCGTAAAAGTTTAGTCATCATTACTAATAGAAGTGTTACGAAAACTTAACGATTGGCTAATAATTTGTATTTCGATAGTTGTGGCTATAATTCCCCATTGCTTAATAGTTATGGATAATATATTGTATTAACCCTTTATTTTTTATTATTGACATCGGATTCCTTAACAATAACAGCTGTTTAATATCCAAAATGATGGACCACTTCTTGATCACGTGGCTTTAATCAACACCTAACAGCAATGTATGCCACTTTTTTCAAAAATAACAAAAACAAGTAGCACACATGTCGGAATAGATAAGGCAAATTAAATTGTAGGATGAAAATTGAAATTGAAACTCAATTTGGTCAAAGTGAGTAAAATCTCATGTTGAAGAATTTTGAGTCCAGCGTGAGTTTTATTTTTTTTGAAATTGCCCGGTTGGTTGGGATTGATTTTTGTCAAAATCCAACTCTCTTTTCACCCAATCTGTTCATAAAATACAAAACACAGTCATTTTGTATCTAACATAATAATATGGATAATTTATAAATGTTATTAGTTCTTATGTCAGTATAAAAATATAAAGATTTTTTTTATGTAAAATGGATTTTTGGTGACTGTCATCTTTTCCTAACATCTTTTCCTAATTTACACATACACATACAAATAGGGGAAAAAATGTCCTCATCAACCATAATTAATAGCGAGACGAAGAGTTTGAACCCCAACCACTCTCTCTAGTTTGAAACCCTTTCGCCTCTCTCTTGGGCCTTTAATTCAATTTGATAGGGGGGGGGCTGCCGGTGACAATCCAACCTGCTCACCGTGGGGTGAGATAGCATGCCTACTCCTAAAGGGGTTGGAAAAATGACACTCCTATTAGTTATAGGCTTTTAAGGTACTTGATTTATGTTGTATTAAATAATCTGTCTGAATTAAAAACTCATATTAATTACTTTCTTTTTTTCAATGCAATGGTAGTTCTACCAATGCAATGGTATCAATGTACAAGTGCAATGGTAGTTGTATTAGTGCAATGGTAGTTTAAAAAAAGGAATGTAATTAATATGAGTTCAGTATACAGGTGCAATGATAATTGTATCAGTGCAATGGTAGTTCAAAAAAAGGAATGTAATTAATATGTGTTTTTAATTCCCAAAGATTATTAAATGCAACAAAAATTTAATACTATAATTAACTATAATTAATAGGGGGTGTCATTTTTTCAACCCCATAGAAGGGTTAGCAAGCTAACAGATCCCAGTTCACCGTCGTTTTGTTTCCTAGTTTTGCAGTCCTTTCTTTCTTGTTGCGTCATTTGTTTCCCTTTTTGTTAATCTAGTTTGTTTTTCGTCTGATGACGAAATTAGAGGCATATCAATTGATCCTCTTTTGGTAAGTTCCTCTAAATCAAGTAGTTCGCTCTTTAGGAAAGTTTCAACAGACGACGCAATTCGGACCGACTATCAATAACAGCTAGAAACTGCATCACGAGTAGTGGATTGACAGCAATGACTCTCTTGAAGTCTCCTTATATACAAGGCGTTTTTGGAGTCTTGAGTGATGTTGTAACTTTGAAAAGAGTGCAGTTGAGGGATTATATGTAGGTTACAAGGATATCAATTGTTTAGGGAAAGAGGTTCTAAATTGTTGAGGGTTTAGACGGATTGAATTGTGATCTGGACTGGAACTGGTGTTTCTCGTATTCTTTGTTTTTTTTTTTTTACTCTTTTATCTTTGCTTGATAGGTTAAAAGAACCTCATGGAATATTGCCGAGTTTGAAAGTTTAATTTGCTCCAACATGCTGTACTACAGGGACAATGATTTTAATGTCACATCAAAATTCATCCATTAGAGTATTTGACAAAAAAAAAACCATTTCATAATCTAAAATAAATTTGCATCAGCCTCGTGAAAACATTCAAAAGTGCAGTGACCATTTCGTTAGTAGGACCAAGTTAAGTGAGAATTGCGTTAATTACCCATTAATCATCCCGTCGCCATCATAATTATGCCACGTGAATCCAACCCATCTACTGACCCCGGCAAGTTGATCGCAGTCAAATATTGCCGCCCCAAGGTATGGCAACTGGCAAGTTGGCCATACATGGGATAGGATAGGCCAATAGCATTAATTACCGCTGCTCTATAAATAAATTCGGCGTCCCGACGCTGAAAAACTCACCAAAAAAACCAGCCCACTTTAGAGAGAGAGAGAAAAAAAGGAAAGCAAAAAACTCAAACCAGAAAAAGAAACGATGACGACGGTGGCCGGATTACCCAAATACGTGGTGCTGAAGTCCAAGAACGACGGGAAGTACCTCCACTACCTCTGGAACGACGAGTTCGGCGAGTACTACAAGGATCTCGGCTGCAAGCGCGACGTTGACGTGGTCAACCCATTCGTGCAACTCGAGGTGGTCCCATCCACCGCCGACGCGACCCTCATCCACCTCCGCTGCTCCTACAACAACAAGTTCCTCCAGCTCACCAGCAAGTACGGCGTGTCGTGGATCTCTGCCACCGCCGACGCCGCCGAGGAGGACAAGACCAAGGCGACCTCCACCCTGTTCCAGCCCATCTTCCCCGCCGGCGAGCCCAGCACCGTCGGGTTCCTCCACGTGCAGACCCAGCGCCACCTCCGTACTTTCTACAACAAGGACTACAGCGCCGAGATCAACTACGTCGCCTGTGTCTACACCAACGATGGCACTGGGTATCACCGCTACGAGTTCGCGGCGTGGGAGTCGTACGAGGACAAGATGAAGAAGAAGGACGAGGAGATCCAGAAGCTGAAGGCCGGCGACGGAGAGAGCCTCACCGCCGACGCTATAGTGGCGGATCTGAGGAAGGATATCGCCGAGCAGAACGCGCAGCTGGACGCCGCGTACAAGGAGATTGATGAGAAGGATGCACAGATCAAGGCTAAGGACAAGGAGATTGCGGCCTTGAAAGCAGCCGCCGGCAAGTGATTAACTTGTTGTGTTCTTAATGAAGTGGTCGGTTAAGGATGGTCTAAGGGTTTTTTTTTTTTTTTTAATTTGGGTTTTGTTTGTGCTTGATTAAGAATAAGAAGGCATTACATATGGTGAGATCATGACCAGCCTGCCGTTCTATGGTTGATGGATCTGGAGGCATTGTGTGGATCTCTCTGTTATGTATGTGCGGTGATGAACTAGTACTGCTACTTAACCTTTTGTCAATTAATTTCTGGTGTTTTTTGAAGATGATGAAGTTGGGAAAAGCAAAGTTGTGGGTGTCTATATCATATATGTGTCATTTTGTGACAGAGGGAGGGAGTTTGAACTTTGTATTGATGGTCGAATTAAATAAAGGATTCACTTTACTCTGCCTACCTATATGGTGATGGTGGTATGTGTGTTTATTATTATTATTATTATTATTATTATTATTATTATTATTATTATTATTATTATTATTGTTTTCGTTGAATTTGTGTACCTTTTTATTTTATAGATTCTAGTATATTTTATAGGCTGATTTATGATGGATGTTCGTGGCCTGTAAGTGGGAGCTGTGGCACTTCAATAGTTTAACGACAAAAACAAAGTTAAAATAGCAAATGTGACACTCTTAATTGCAATTCCATCAACTGTAACAAGGAAGAATAAAATATAAAGTCGTATTGCTGTGGTAAGTAGTGGTCATCCATATTGAAGAGAAACATACATGTAACAATCAACAAGGTAGCTACGATCGTTCATCTTGTTACATAATTTGCTTTGGATGACAATTTACTTATCCATGGGTAATTTTGCCCAAACCCAAGTAGACCCATTCATTATGGGTAGGGTAGGGTATGGGTGAGGTGTATATGAGTTTGGAGGTTTGTAAATGGGTTTGGGTTATGTATGGATATTGCTTTCATAATCTAAATGAGTATGGGTTGGATATGGATATCCATTACTTGATGGTGTTTCAACTACACATACAAATTTAGGTGCTAAATATGCGTATATATTAAGTTTAGGTATCAAACTGTAATTTGCATTTGGGCATGGATACAAACCCAAATCCATTTGTTAAAAATCCAACCCAACCCAACTAAATGGGTATAGGTACCCATTAAACTCTACCCATCAACCATCTATTTGGATTACATACCCAACCCAATTAGATTGGATAGTAAAGTACCCATGGATATAAGCAAAATTATCATCCTACATTTGCTCTCTAATATTTTGTCATCAACAAAAATGTGCGTTCACCAGTAGTAAAGTGGTAGTATGGATCAGAAAGGTAAAGAAAAATAATCAACCAGTTAAGAAGATAACAAATATGTGACTCTCCATGACCATGATCTTCCGGGCATGGAAGCTTCAAAAGTAGGGGTGTCAGTCGGTCGGTTTCGGTTTAACCGAAAACCAAAAATTCGGTTATCGGTTAAACCGAGCCACCTCCTAGTACTGCCGACAACCGACCGTGATAGAGGTCACGGTTAGCCGGCCAACCGACCGGTCGGTTTCGGTTTTAGGCTCGGTTAGCCGGCCAACCAGAAAACAAGCTTTTCTAAAAAAAAAAAAAAAAATTAAAAGAAAAAAAATCTGCACCACTCATCCCTTATCTCCTCCTCTCTCCTTCCTTCCTCCACCAGACACTTCTCTTCTCTCTCCTAGTCTCCTTCCTTCACCATTTCACACCCACCACCACCAAACCACTTCTTCTTTCTCTCGTTCCTTCCTCCATGGAAGACTACAACACCCACCAATCTCCTCCTCAATTCCCCATCTTCCCCTCTCAAATCCTTCACCATCGTCGGCCGAAATCCTTCCAAGCTCTCTGAAGCCCTCAAATGGGCCGCCCATCCCAACTCTCCGTCGACACCACCGACCCTGCTTCCCTTCGCCTGCTCTGCTCCCAAACCAGGCTGCTCCTCAACTGCGTCGGTCCATTTCGTCTCTACGGCGACCCTGTCGTGTTCCACCGGATTAAGGCTCGCCGGGGCGACGAGGGTGGAGGCGGCGGGGCGACGAGGTGGATGCGGTGGGGCGAGGTTTTTTGCGCCGCGGCTGGGGCGACGAGCTGCTGCTGGCGTTGCCTGGCTGGAGGCTGGAGCTGCGGCGGAGTGTCGAGGTGGAGGCGGCGAGGTGGAGGGGGAAGGGGAAGGGGAAGGGGAGACAGTCGACAGGAAGGGCGGCGTTTAGGGTTAGTGGCTGCTTAGGGGAAGGGGAAGCCGAAGGGGTCGACTGCTTGGGGGGCGGCGTCGTTTTTGGGATAGGGAAGGGGGTTCGGTTAGCCGGTTAACCGCCGGTTTCTAACCCCGGTTAGTCGACTAACCGGACCCATGAATTCCCCCACCGGCAACCGATCGTGGCCATTGGGTTCGGTTTTTCGGCTAGCCGAAAACCGGCCGGTTCGGTTGAAACCGTCTGGTTAGCCGCTAACCGAAAAACCGTCCGCCAGCCCTATTCAAAAGGATGTATTACTGCAAAATTACGTGTGAAAAATGCGGACCTTGGCGCTATGGACAAAGGAGAATTGACCGGATTAAAAAAATTATGGGCAAATCAGTCATAAATTGGAGAAATAGAAGGAAATGGAGGAAGAGAACTACCAACAGAAGATGTTTAAGCATCCACTTTATCCCAAATCAGGATAGTAATAAGGATGGAGTTTTGTCCGGATTAGTTTAAAGTCTTGTTGGGGCATAGCCGCGACCCAAGAGGGTCGGGCTTACAAGGCCCGAGAGAGAGGTTGGATCGGCCAGGCTAAGCAGTGGAGCCCAGCCCGATAGGCCCAAGGGGGCATGAGTGGAGTCGGCCCACTCATCAAAGAGGTGCACCAGGCCAAGTGGGGCCCAGGCTCTGACACAGGGCGCATGCGACAAAGGGTCGCAACGGGTAAGAAGGTACGGAGGAGGGACCACCTGACGTCATGCGCCTCAACCGTCTGAGTACAGGGTCAGGTGGTCGAGGCGCACGGGACCTGGTCGTACGGCGCATTTAATGCGGGTCTGGCGACAGGCGGGAGACGGGGATGTTGGTCGGCCAGGCCCGAGGTATAAATACGAGAGTTGCTGAACCTCATTTACTCAGGTTAGGACTTCTCTCTAGAATTACTATTCACTTCTCTCTCTAGAAGCTGAGACTGACTTGGGCGTTGGAGTGCTAACGAGCCCAGACTCGGGCTCAAGTTAGTCGTGCTGTGTGCAGGGGAGGGCATACCAGGGAGTTGCGTGCGAGGATTCGGGGCGCATTGTTACCAGGCTCGAACAATTGGCGCGCCAGGAAGGGGGAAAAGAGTGAGATATCAAGTGAGTGTACGCATACTTCTAAACGAGTAAGGGGTCATGGAGGCGCTAGGAGGAGCCGAAGGAGAAGGAAGACCAGCGGCAGCGGAAGCATCACGAGAGGCGCCCCTGCTGTCGGGAGAGGCGCATGCAGGGGTCGAGGACGAGGCGCAGGAGACGGCTCAGTCCGAGGGCGTCACCCTCACGAAGGAGCATCTGCTTCACATAATCGGAGAGCAGGAACAGGCGCTGGAGACACTCAAAAAAGAAGTGGAGATGTTGAAGAAGGGGGCGGGGGCGGCGCCCCTCCCAGGTGGGAAGAGAAGGGACAGAGAGGAGGACGAAGAGGGGGCGTCCAGTGCACTGAAGCGCACGGAAGACTTGGGGCACCTGACGAAGCATATGGCCTCAGATTTTGATGAACACAACGGATGGGCGCATCGTCTTCATGGAAGAGCATGGGGGGTGAGGCAGCCGCTTGCACGAAGCATATTGGCCGAGCAAGCAAACTCAGTCATCCCAGCGCTTCCTAGTTATGATGGGTCGACCGATCCAGAGGATCACCTAAACAACTACTTCACCAAGATGCAACTGTATAACAGCTCGGACGCCACCTTATGTCGCGCCTTTCCCTCCACATTTACGGGCGTGGTCTTGGATTGGTACCATCAAATTGAGGAGGGGAGAATCGATGGGTTCGAGCAATTCGCTGCCCTATTCCTCTCAAAGTTTGCCAGTCGGAAGCGCCGGAGCCTCACTATCAGTGCGTTATTTAAAGTCAGACAGCGTAAGGGCGAGGCGCTCCGGGACTTCTACGAGCGCTGGATGTCCGTGGCCATGGCGGTCAAGGATGTCAAGCCACCGGTGCTGGGATGTTGCCTGGATGAGTGCACCACGAGTGAGGAGTTGTGCCGAGCACTGTCAAAGCGGGATGTGGTGTCAACGGAGGATCTGGATCGAAGGGTGCAAAAGGTGATCATGCTGGAGGAGACGTTGTCGGCAAGGAGAATGGAGAGAAGGGACGTGCGCCCCGAGGAGACTGAGGGGACCAGAGCGCAGCGCATGCCGCCTGCCCCCATTCCACCTCCGTCATACCCGATGGGCGCGAGGCGCCCCGATCAACCGCGCTTTGCGCCCCGGGGAGGCGGGAATTTCACCGAACTCAACGACTCGCTGAAAAACGTGTTGCAATTTGTGAAGGATAAGGGGTACCATATCCGCTGGCCGGGGCCCATGAGAGGGCGCCCTAACGAGCAAAACCTTGATAGGTATTGTGAGTTCCATCGTGAGCGGGGCCACCACACCGTTGACTGTTACCAGCTCAAGTCCGAAATTCAAGGGTTGGTGGACCGGGAAATGTTGAACGAGTTCGTAAGAAGGGGGGAAGAAAAGGCGCAGAGAACGTTCATGGCGCAGGAAGAAAGGTCGGAGGAGGCGCCCGGGAAGGCGAAGCACGAGGAGGAAGAGGCCCCCACGGCAATAGAGGATCTACCCCCGCCCCCATTCAATATCGAACCTGAGGCGCACCCGGAACACGTGAGATTAACAATCGAAGCGATCTCAGGCACGATGGATCTAAGGCAGAAGTTGGAAGAAGGGAGACGCCTGAAGTCGGCCACCGCCAGCGCTCGAGCGGCGGTACAAATTCACTTCAACGAGTCCGCCGAGGAGGCATGCCGGGTGCCATCTGTGGAGGCGTTGGAAATAAGGGGGTTGTAGCCG